ATTTTTTTCTTTTTTCGTGATTTCCTGCGAAACAAAGCAAAAAGGAGCATATGTCTATAGGACTTTTTTTCTTAGTTTTTTACTCCTCTACACGCTCCCGAAGTTTTGCCATTTAATTTGGAAACACCCTGTATATTATAGCGCGTAAATGATACGATATTTGTCGAAGTCGTATACGGTCCGTCAGAGATCACGCGAAGCGCGAGAGTAGATGGAGATTAATTCCAGCGCTAATTTAGCGGTAGGTAGCAAGTGCTCCGGCTGAAGTGTCCTCTCGGGTAAGCTGTGCCTAGAGCCGCAAATGAAACTCTGCTCCACATAGTTAGCACGTTTTATCTGCCTCTCCTTCTGTCAGCATCCTTCTCACCTTGGAAACACAAAAAAATGGTCGGAGCCAACGTAACAAAATTTCCAACAAAATTATGCCACTTCCGCGATGATCCGGCGTGGCGCGCGGTAGTGTCAGATGCGCTTCTGTGTTTTTTTCTAAGCGACAGCTTAGAAAAAAAGAGGGAAATTAATCAATAAATAAGAAAAATTCGGTTTTTCACAAACTTGTAAAATTAATTTCTCGATGAGTGAATATCGCAAGTTTTATCAATTTTTTTATACGGGATTTTGTATATGGAGAAAAATACAGATTCAAGATTTTATTTTTCAGATAATATAAAATGGATCTTAATAACAAAATTTTATTTTATATTTTGATTTTATAAAATAATTTCTGATTGATAATTTCACCAAGCTTTTCAATAATGTACATAGCTAACAATAATTTTTCAATTTTAAAAGTTTATTAACAATGACTTAATAAATTGTCAATATTATTAACCTTTCTTCTAACAAAAATGCTTATTTTAAAACTATTAATTAATTTAATAAATGTACAGGTAATATCGATTTTAATTAACATTTTATAGAAAAAATTGAACTATTAATATTGAAAATTTAGAATAAGCAATTGCAGCTATTGAAAATTTTTAATAAATGGAATCTAACTTTTTTAATTAAATTAAATTGTCGGTATGTGTGTGTCAATTTCACACAATTTAGAAATATATAAAAATTTGCTAAATTAATATCCTTCACTTCTTTATGTATTTCCAAATCAAATATTTTTTCCTCTTTTTGTCCAGATATTCGTGGTTCAGAGTTGTATGCATTTGATCCGATAATTTACTTGGTTCCATAGATGCATAAAACTTTCAATGCTTTCCATTTGGTAACATAAATCGACACAACTCAACACAAATGTCGTCTTATCTTTGTTACTCTCTGAATGCCAAGAAAGATAGAATGATGTTTGTGTCGACTTGTGTCACTAAATGGAAAACATCCAATAGGATACGCATGGAAAGCCTCAAGACGACTTCCAAACTCGATTAACTTAGGATGCGATCCATTTGACGTTACAAACGCTTCGAAGCGTTTGAGCGACCAATTAGAACAAAGAATTTTACGAATTGACTAATCAAAGAATGCTTCGAAGCGTTTGTAGCGTCAAATGGACCGCAGTCTTAATCGGCGATTAACAGTCGATTGAGTCTGTTTTTAGCAAACTTTAATCTCGATTTAATTTCTCTTCATCTTTTTCTATTATTAGAATTAGAATAAGATAAAAAGTAAATTAAATGATTAAAGTTAATATCTACATTAATATCTACAGAAATTAATAGACAAGAATCTTTTAAAGAAATCTCTAATATACAGTTCACGTTGTTCTTCAGCTTTTCTGATACGTTAAACATTTTATTGATTAAATTTAATAGTTTTCGTATTACTTAATAAAATTAATCGGATTTAGGCCCGGTTGCACCAACATTACTTTAACCGATATTCATAGTCATTTCTTATATTTAAGATCATCTTAAATAAAATTCAGTCTTGAGATGTCACTAACCAATCAGAGGGCCGCATTAGCATCTTAAGATATTACTTAAATGCCTGGTTTATGCTTCGGTGTTAGCTCTAAAATCCTAAAATTCAGCCAATGGAATACAGATTTCAGTTAGAACCAATTAAGACTGGCAATTAAGACTCCATTGGCTAAAAAATTTAGTCTTAAACATTCTAGTTTGATAGACATTAAATTTTAGGATTTTAGGGTTAAGTCCGAATCTACAATAGATGTTTTAAGACTTAAACCATAAGAAATTGACCAATTACAGTCGAATCCGAGGGGAATAATCGACTGTGATTCATCCATATCTTATAGCTTAAGGCTTAAAACCCTATTGTAGATCTGGGGTAAGACCGAAGCACAAACCAGGCATAAGACGGTCTTGAAATAAGAATCGACTATGAATACCGGCCTTTGATTTTAAGTTTCGCTTAAAGTCAGCGTAACGTTGGTAGACAACCGGGCCTAGTTGATCAAGGTCACTCTAATTTACTTTTTTATTAGTTATTAACATCTTAGCTAGTCTTCTGTAAAAAACCTAGTAGCTCAAAATGTAATTCTGTTTTTCATTAGAAAACTAGCAGTTAAAAAAATATAATTTATAAAAATTATAAAATTATCTTTATAAAATTGTTTTTTAACTGCTAAATTTTCTAGCTCACTAGAAGACTAGCACGCTAGTAAAATAAAGCATTATTTCAATCAGATCTAAAAAAAAAATCACAATAATAAATTATTAAAAATATATCCGAGATTCTGCATTATCTATAGATCATTCGTTCATCGATCGCGCAATTATACGCATCCAGCCAGATGTCACTGGGCGCATTCGGCGGACTCAACAGTTGAGTGAGCGCTCGCTGTTATTGGTGTATTCTTTTAGATCATCCAATCAGTATTTTAGATCTAGAAGAATACATCAATAGCAGCGAACGCTCACTCAACTGTTGAGTCTGCTGAACGCAGCTACTGTCGGCGAGTTCATCGTACAAAGTGCACTCTTTGTAATTCACCTATTCCCCGACTGTTACGGGTTACGGCTAACGACGAGTGGTCGGGGTACGCCATGTTTGTGTTGCAGTCAGCGTTGTAGATGGTGTGCGTGGCGCGGGGTGCGCGGGTAATCGGGTATACGTGTTGTCTCCGCTTATTTTTTCTCTCGCGTGCAGTATCTAATGCTCGGCCGTTTATTTACGTAGCGTCGCGACACAGTGCAGAGACCGATTCGCGTGCCGCCGATCCGTCGCGACGAGGAGTGCAGTAAACGGCGAAACGACCGCGCGGTGATCCTATCGCTGTAGCCGCGCACGCAACGAGGGTGACCGCGAGATCTCGGACGCACTCGCGACTCGCACGGTTAGATGCGATCCTTGTTCCTGCGGAGGTTGTTTACAGGTAGGCCCGCGCCGTCGTAAGCCGCGCGGTGATCCGCGTGGCGCGCGGATTTCCAGGAACGCAACGTCGTCGTCGCCGCCACTTCGTCAGTGACCGCAGCGCAATTCGATGCACCACGCTATGCCACGCTAGACGCGTGCACTTGTGCTGTGTTTTATAACCTGACAACACGAGCGAAGTACTTCATCCTGTGTGTATCTCACGTTTATCATGCATCCGTTGCATCTTTGACGAAATATTATCAAGCGGTAAGTTCCCGATCACGTGCGCGTCGTCCAACTCTTTGTCTCGCTTTCGTTTCTCGCTTGGTCTCAGCGACACGCGACACGCCATCCATTGTTTAGATAGAATCTTTGTCATCACAAGGAACTCACTGGTCTGAGTGCCTTGGGACAAAGCACGTGGCTTATATGCGCATTGAAACAAAGATCGTTCTTATCTTAAGATTCTGTTATCGATATTTTCTGCAGATAATATTCGCTATATTTTTCATAAATCTGTTATTGTTCCAAAAGCATGTGAAAATGATGAAAGATTATACTATTATTGATACAGATATTACAATGTGGTATCTGTTTACAGGTGCATACTTAATTGAAAAGATATCAAAATGTGGCCGGCACAAAGTAATAATAATTCTAATGCGAATTCTGCGTCAAATGAAAAGAACAATTTACGTACTCTGGGGATGACGTCAGCCATCAGCGTAGCTGAACCTAAACCTATGGACATTTCTAGAACCAACGAATTAAAGGAGGCCCTGAAACCCTACAATGTTTTTGAATCTGAAGAAGAGTTGAACCATAGGATGGAGATTTTAAGGTACATCTAACAAATTGTCTATAATTGTTACGTAATATAATATTATTTAATTATAATATTTTGATAATAGTTATAATAGTTAATATTTTATTGATAATAAAAGTATGGCTATCGACTATTGAAACCTGATTATTCTTGTAGTAAACTGAACGCATTGGTTAAACAGTGGATAAGAGATACGAGTATAGCTAGAAACATGCCACCTAATGTGGCCGAACAAGTGGGTGGTAAAATATACACGTTCGGTTCATATAGGTTAGGTGTACATCACAAAGGCGCCGACATCGACGCATTGTGTGTTGTACCGCGTCATATATATAGACAAGATTATTTTACGTCCTTTTTCGAATTATTAAAAATGCAGGAAGAAGTTACAGATTTAAGGGTACGTAATGCAAGAAAATAATATATGTAATACTACTGCACGCCTTATATTAAATATATTTGTCTCTTCAGAAGAAGCTCTTGTATGTGTGTGGTATTGTATTATTTAATTTATATAATTAAATCTTTTATAAATCATTTTCTTATTACATATGTATTCTATTTGAATATATTAATATTCAATAAAAATGCGTTTGTATGGTAAAAGAAAATATATATGTTTATTTATAAAAGATCGGAAAATTAAGAAATATATATGTATACAATAGTTTTTAATGTATATTTAATACGTATTTAATGTGTTTGTGTAATATTTATCACATTGTAGGCAGTAGAAGAAGCCTTTGTACCAGTTATAAAAATGAACTTTGATGGCATAGAAATCGACATGCTATTTGCAAAGTTAACTCTTAAGGAAATTCCAGATTCAATGGTTAATAATATTTTATATTTACACAAAAAAGGATTTTATGAATGTTACATCTTACAAATAATAAATTTTTATAAATATAGGATCTCAGGGATGACATGCTACTAAAAAATCTTGATCAGAAGTGTGTCAGAAGTCTTAATGGTTGCAGAGTGACGGATGAAATACTACGTTTAGTACCTAATATAGAAAATTTCAGATTGGCTCTTAGAGCTATAAAATTATGGGCAAAACGTAAGATATTGTAACACTTTGTTTAATATTGTTTTATAATGACTAACACATAATATGTTGGTTATTTTTTTATTTTTAGGACATGGCATATATAGTAATGTCTTAGGTTATCTTGGTGGTGTATCTTGGGCAATGTTAGTCGCTCGGACGTGTCAGCTTTATCCCAACGCCGTGGCTGCAACTCTGATAGAAAAATTTTTCCTTGTATTCTCTCAATGGAAATGGCCACAACCAGTACTTCTGAAACAACCTGATAATGTCAACTTGGGTTATCCAGTTTGGGATCCAAGAGTAAGAATTATAGTTTTCATATTTTATATATAAATAAATATTTTAAATAATGCATAATATCAAAAAGATAATATAATGAAACTTTTGCGTAAAATGTATTATTTTTGTCTTAAACATTTTACTATTTTACTTATTTAAGGTAAATGTAGCAGACAGATATCATCTAATGCCAATAATTACACCAGCATATCCTCAACAAAATTCTACTTTCAACGTGTCTGTTTCGACCAGAACCATCATGCAAGAAGCGTTTGAAAACGGATTAGCCATAACAGAAGAAATTATCATGGGTAAAGCAACGTGGGACAAGTTGTTCGAGCCGCCAAACTTTTTTGGCAAATACAAACATTATATTGTATTGTTAGCCAAAAGTTTAAGCGCCGAAGATCAACTTGAATGGTGCGGCCTTGTCGAGTCAAAAATACGACATTTAATAGGTAACAGATCGAATATGATGATACATTTATAAGGAACGTACATGTATATTATTTCTCCTATAAAATTTTTTATTTCTTATCACATGATATTTTTACTCAACATTTGGAATATAAATTAACCTATTGTGAAAACCGAAATAAATTTAAATGTATTTAATTTAATATGCACTACATAAGACAACAGATTAATATAACATTGATGTCTAAAACTTATTTAAATTGATTCCTTAAAAAAATAATGAAATTCTAATTATTTAACATTCTATATTTGTTGCTTTTTTATTGTCTTGTTTTATTTTGTTATCGCAAATAACGCTATTGAATATAAATCAGCAAAAATATACGTTAACAACTAAAATAAAGTATAAAATTTTTCAGGAAAATAAGCAGTTATCAATTTTTGTTTTAATTTATGTCTCGTAATAATGAAATTGTTTATATATATTTATTATTTATTTATATATATGTATATATTATGATACTAATAATCCGCGGATGCCAAATTGGCAAAATCATAACCATTCTCACAGGTATGTTGGAAAGGAATCCTCATATTACTTTGGCACACGTTAATCCGGAGGCGTTCCCGCCATTGAATCCCGAATCAGGCAAACATTGTTCTATGTGGTTCATCGGCCTGGCTTTTTCTAAATGCGAAAAGAGCGAAAAAAGCGAAAAGGGCGAAAATATCAACGTTGACCTCACATATGATATCAAATCCTTTGTGGATACAGGTAGATTTTTATATTTTTTATTACTATAAATTATACACATTTGGAATATACAACTATGTATGTATTTCTTACAGTTGAAAGACAAGCAGAACAAATAAATATGTTCAAGGAAGGAATGTGGATTGAGGCTAAACATGTAAAAAGGAAGGACTTGCATACTTATGTATCGCCAAGTTTACTGAAAAAGGAAAGGAAGGTATGAGAAACATATTTTAATACTTGAATTTTAACGTTGGTAATTTTATATTATTGTTTACAGAATGTTTGTGTATATATATTATACAAGAGAACATAAGTCTATATTTTATAAGCAGTTCAATTATACTTTACTCACTAGAAATTGAAATTTAAAATATCCAATTGCATAGTTACCATACAATTTTTGCAGGTTTCTAGCGGTGTACATCGGAACGGCAACATTGCTGGAAATGGAAACAGTGGTAGTGTATCGCCGCGAAGTCAAGGTGATACAAGTAGCAGAAAGAGATTATCGGATCAGACGCTTGATTCATGTGGAAAAAAGCGGCGAATAAATGAGACGGAAGAACAAGTGGGTAGCATATATACTATAAAATACAGTTGAAGGAAAAAGAAAATATTTTAAATTCACCTAGATATAAAATTAAATGTAACGAATATTATGTTTATACAAAGTGTTCGGTAATAATCGGATCATCTCGTGGGTAAGTAGAGCGGACTAAATTAAATGAAAAAATTCTGTACTATTTTGCAATTTTTGCAATAGTTAACAAAAAATTAGTTGGAGATCGCCGATAGGTCGAGCGGATACACTCATTCGGCAATCTCATTTGATTTCTAATTAATTTCTCGTTAACTAATGTAAAAATTGCAAAATTTTAGTCATAGCTTAATCTATTCTATCTACCCATGAAAGGTGATCCGATAATGACCACACATCTTGTATATATCACTTTGATTAAATTGATTTAATCCTTTTATAGACGTTTATCCTATTCTAGATGGAGAACACAACATTAATCATTAAATGTAATTCTTTACATTTATATATATCACTTGAATCGTCTAATCTTTTTATAAACGTTTATCCTATTCTAGACGGAGAACACAACGTTAGTCGTTCAATCTTGTGGAGAAGATAGTAATTCTGGCTTCAGTATGGATGAATACAAACCGAATCTATCAACTAATAAGGACGTAAGATATTGTATATACAATGAATAATAATCTTTATAACAGGATATATAATAAGATAATTTAAACATGAAAATAAAACATAGTAAGTGAAAAATTTTAATTTATCACAAAATTTTTTTCTCCATCCTGCTAGGTAAGAAATAAAAACGAGTAAACGCATGATAATACGTAACAGATTTAATTCTCTGCTTTTTTTTTTTACTTTATATTCATCTATTGATATATTTTCTTTTGCTTGATACAGAACTCTAGATGTGCTAGAAATATAAATATCAGTAGTAATTTATTTATATATTTCGTGATTCTAAAAAATATCTTAAAGTTAAGAAATAGGAAAATTTATACGCCATAACAGATCAAATAATTTCTTTTTTATTTCATAAAGGCACTCAATTGCAAAATTTATATTTCATCGAATGGAAATGCATTAAGATAAACTTAATATTTTATTCAATTAATAATATAATTCATTCTTCCTTGATGTATATTTGTTATCTAGGAAGGACCTACTAGTACAACTTCAGTAGCGCAGGAAGGATTCGTATGCACTTGATCATCGTGGAATAATTATCTTACATCAATCCACAGATGCTCCTCTGGATCATCTAGACTGTAAACATTTCTCATGCAACCATCCACTGCCCACTGTAAGTCCTTCGTTTCGTAAAAGCAAAACAGCGTCACGCGCAATGGAGGAAGCTGTCCAGGTGGAATCAATCAATTGATGACAATTTATGTGTTTATGTGAGACACTATAATTAATAGTATTATAAAAAAAAACATCGACAGTCAATGGGAACAATTACGCTGAAAACTTTAAGCGATTGTGCCAGTGTCTGTGATGTCGTCTACATCACTGGAGTAATAGTTTTGAGACGCATAGTTGAAAGAAATTTGCTACCATGAAGGTTAAATCTACTTCGCTTGGAAACAATAGTAATCATACTTTTTATATTTCCTTTTTGTATATATCATTTACATTACTCTTTTTTTTTATCGATAAACACTTGAACAAGGAACTTAAGATTTGATAATACTTGATGTAATTGATAATTTTACATAATTTACATGACGAGCAAAAATAGTTTGATCGAGAAAATTACATGTATGGAAATTTCCGTATTTTTGCGAGTGTTTCCGCATGTTAGAAAAAAAACACAAAATATAAAATATATTCTTATATAAAGTGCATTTTTGTAATGCACTGTGGAATATGCTTTAAAAATGCATATGCATATGATTTAGTTGTAAGTAGCTCTGATATACTTTATTACTCGTATGCAAGTCACGTGCCGCGTCTGCCTGTTTAGGGACTTGCAAACTTGTACTGTACTGTTAGCGTTTTAACACGCTTTACTGTTTGTACGAAGTATGAATTATTATTTACGCGATACTTAATGTTGCTATTATTTATAAGGATTAGATATTCCATGCAAGAGTTGCAGTATAGAATATTATTTGCTCCCGAAGCTTACCATTGTGCACGTAAAGAAAGACGCTAATGGTCATTTTTTGCTGTACAACTGTAATGTAATCGATAATGTAATTGCATTACAAGAGTCACCGACACTGGCATAAACCCGAGGATGTTTCATTTACAGAGTACGTAGATAATAGTCACTTTAGGAAGATAAGAATAGAAACTTGCAAATGAAACATCCCAAATAGGCCATTGACTATCTTATTGACGATTATATTGCGTGAAACAGTTTCGTATGGAGCCGCCTTTTAGTTTTTGCTCAGAAACAAAGTTATAGCTTTAACGAATTAGATCGGGCTGACACTTGGATGATTGAAACCACCTGTCACCAATCGGTGAGTTTTTTCAGGTGTTCAACTACCTTCGCTCCCAGTCTACGGCTCTGATCCTTGATCCTGATTCCGATTATCTTCTCGCCTATTGCAGTCCTCAATTTGTGTGTTAAAGGCATGTCCACTAATCGTATGCTACAAGGTATTTGATGTTCATTCTTTGGTACTTGTAAACGAAACTTGCGAATACCGCAGTATACGTAAAACTCAAGTACTTGCAGAGTACTATTTGACAAGTTAAAGATTTCAGACGCAATTCGTATTAGTATTGAGAAATATGAGAAGTACCACTTCTCTTTCATAATCGACACCGCTAGCAACTTAGTTGTTACGTTGAAATTTTTATTAATACAATATAAACAATTTAACGGTAATTACTAATTAAATTTTAAGTATAACATGAAAATCTTGATTATAACGCTTTGCAAATGTCATGATTCAATGTTCAGTGATTAGGAATCATTCCGTTATTTGTATATACATATTCGTAGATGCGCCTGAGATGATGAGGTTTCACTCTTTCAAAGCTTGTCTTGATGAGTCATTTTATTTATTGATCGGAATACGCGTTTTCCTGTGTACTAAAAAACAGTAATAGAGCTATCTTATGTCTTCGCTTTTTCATGGATTCACGCTAATTCCATGCTTGAATCTGAGATTGAGGTATATTAGAGTACCGTACAAGGAAAACTAGGCCAGTTGGTTTGATCAATCATAAACCCCCTTTTGCTTTCCACATTGTGTTGTGTGACATGATTAAAAACGTGATCCTCTCTTTAAAGAATTTAGCATATAAGAAATTAGAATTTGTTTAGATACATCAGTATACACAAATGTATCCAATCAAATTCATTATTAATGATCATACGGTATCGTGGAGTAGTCATGGGTTTATTTCATGAGTTTAATAATCGACATCGTAATTGTTCTCCTGTATAGATTCCATGTAAAAAGAGAGGATCTCTTTTTTTCTTTCCCTATAGATTTTATTTTTAATAATCATTCATGATTTAATCATTTGATTCATAACGCACAGATGAGGTCGGACAGATTTGTTTCGAAATTAGTAAATAATCGCTTCATTTATTTTTATTTCTTTAAAATATCGCTTTTCAAACTTTATTAATTGCAGAATATCCTGATAAAGTCACTCAAGTTTACTCATTTTTGTTATTGAATACGTAAATGTATGCATAACGTATAGCGATACTCAATACAGTAATAATTAAATACCTCATTTATTATGTCTGTCCGTAAATATCTGTCTAAAAATGTGATTATGTTGTATAAGAAAATTTTAGTATATTATGAGACTTGTTCATTTATCGACATATCATTAAAATATCTTTTGTTCTACAAACTTATTTTATACTTCTGTCTAAACAAAAATATTTGTAGCTTTTACATTTTCTTAAATTGCTTGCCTAATTTTACTTTGTTAAATCCAAGATGTGCTTTGTGCGAATCTCAAATATTTTAAAAATAGAATTTTTACGCACCATTGGAAAAAATATTTTGTTCACGCATACATTTCTGTTTTTGTTATTAACGTCTTTCTTTTTCTTGTACAAATATAAAGTTCTTTAAGTTTACACAGTTGATACACTTAGGATCTCTATTTGGCGACAAAAGGAACGTGTCACAATGATTGTCTCCAACAAATTGGACATTCATTCATTTCGCCATGTAATTTATTAACATTTAACGATATGTAGATGTGTGAATGTCAGAGTTGGTAAAAATCATATTTTAAACTGTTAAAAACATGCTTAATCGATGTTTTTAACATGTTATTAAATATGTTTTTAATAATATTGTTGAAAACATTATGACGCATTAAAAATATGTTATTAGAAAACACAATGTTTTATTCTTTAAAAAAAAACGTTATCTTTTGCCAACCCTGGTGAATATACGCACATGCACATATACACGCGCACGCATATAATTATAACTAACGAAAGTTCAATTTGTGGAGACACGTAATGTGTATTTTTACATGGAAAAACGATTTTGCTAAAGTATCTAAAAATTTAATTAGATGTATGTTCAAAAATAATTTAGTTTATCCACATCAAAATAATTATATAGAAATTAAGTTGATTACCAGAATATCAAAACTTTTTTCAACATTATCATCACATTTGAGTATCATATACTCTGCATAATTATATTAATAATCCAACTTATTTTTAAATCTATATCTAAATTCTTAGATACTTCAGTAAAATTATGTTTTCCATGTAGCATGGAACAATTAGTTCCGCAAAGAATAATTACGGTGCAATACGTTTTTTTTCTTATGCAGAGCCATTTTTTTAGTTAGAAAATGATATCGATTAATTGAAGAACTTCGCGAATTCACATCTCAAATGGCATCATGCAATAAAATATGACAAAGATGCTAACGCTTTCATCAATAATGTATTGCATAGGCACTTCATCGAATAATTTTCAAAATTTTTCAGTTTTTTTTTAATTCATACTTATTGATACCAAACATGACCATTACATCGTATATAATTATGAATAAACGGGACAGTTAAGAATCTCATAATGATTTATGTGAATAAACGTACTAAAATTTATAAAAATTCTCCGTTTAGACAAATTTGGAATAATACAGTTTTTTTTTTAATATCTTTCGAAATAAATTTCTTTGTTTAATTTATTAATATTTCTTCTATCTCGCTGCGTGTCGCACTCAAGTTGTTATCATCATCGTTGCTACCGATATTATTATCTACGATGACGTGAAGCTTCTGTTATTATTGTTTCATCACAAAACAAACTGTATGCAAGTAAAGAAATGCACGCGCACGCATTAACAGAGAATTCTCGATCATAAATGCCGTGGCATTCGGATCTGTCGCATAAATCTCTTTCATCACATCAACTTCCCGTATTGAATCTTATTGCACTAATCTCCGATCATCCATTGCAGCACTCATTATCTCAATACATTAAACTCATCGACTAATTGTCCGTATATTCCGAACGTTTATCACCTATCTCCTAAATTCTAAGGTTCAGAGATTGTATTATACTTTGCACAGAGCTTGAACGAGAATTTAGGCGTACGATAAGAATGTGGACCGTTATCACGATCGCTAGCAAACAGATGAGGTACCTATCGGCGAATGAAGGCCGAGGATCGTGAATAGTGAACATCAATGTTATCCTTGTATGCCAAATCTTATCTCCTTTACTGATTCGCGGCTATCACGCGCCCGATTCGTACCTCTTTCTCTCCTCTTTCTCTCTCTCTTTTTCTTTCTCTCTATCTCGGAGATAGCTAGACATGTCTGTAGCACATTCTCAATCCCCGCATTAGCCTCTCCCTCTCCTGAAAACCACCACCGTTGGCCGACGTGGGCGTCTTGCAATTTCGATAGTGCGGCAAGGGGGTAACAGGGAGGGAAATGCTACGTCTCTCCTATCCACAGTCTTATCTTTTATTATATATAGAAAAAAAGGGAGAGGAAATATGAGACAGAAATAGGAAATACGCTGAAGGAGAAAAAAAGAATAAAGAAGTCAGTCGCGAGGATTTATGTTGCGGGAAATGCGGAATCGATGCATATGATTTTATCGCGCGGATGTTGTACGGATCACTCTTAGGATCTCACGTCTTGTGTCGCGATCGAAGCTCTTTTTTTTTTTCAATACAACATGTGATGCGTTTGATTACCGAAATCATACGAAACACCGTACGCGGAAACCTTCATGAATTTATACGCGTACAGTCGCAATTCTCGAGAAACGTATCCGATGAGTTACTGTAAAATAAATTATATTTGTACGTGCACATTGACCGTACGTGCTCGTACGTGATGCACTTCTGTGAGCAATCGCATATACCGACTCCATGATACAGCCGCGAGATAACGCTTTTTCCATCTCTCTTTCTCTCGCAAATATTATTTTTGTTTTCTGAGCATTCTCATGAAAATTCGAATGCGTCGACCGAGTGTGCATCACCCGCGCATAGATCGTAAATACTGTGCACGTGCGCGATAATGATCACCGATCTGTTGCGCAACCAATTGGCAATAGCACAAATGAAAAATTGAGCAAGGGCATACATAATTTGTATCTTGTGAACATTGTACACTCTGTATCTCTCCTGAATAAACATAAATAAATTTTTCTTTCAACTCCTTCAGCCAAAAAACGAAACGTCGATCGCGTTAAGGCGGAACGATTTGAGTGACGTCAGTAGATTCTAAACTACGTGTGGTCGTTCTGTTTTACCATGATTGGCAGATTTTATAAATATGATCCTATCCATCATTCCAGATATTATAACTATTCCTAACATTATGGTCTATGTGCAGTCAATTATGGTACAAATTAATCTTTGACGTTTCATTGATATTTTCCTTTTGAATGATAAATTTACAGTTTTCCTTGTCAATAATCATCAATACAATAATTATCAATCGAGTTGTCGTAAGTACTGCATAATTTACTGCACAGCATTTTGAAGATATAATTAGAATAATTTAAAAAATCGTATTTTAATTCTACAAGATTTATGTAACATAATTATCACTTACAAGTAATAAATTGTAGAAACAGCTAGGTACGTATATATTATCTATCTATAAAATATAAAGCGCTAAAGACAATATCAACACGTCGCGTATATGTAATAAAGCTATATTAATGTCGATATTTTAGCATTTTTTATTGTTTGCAAAAAAATAAAAAGGATTTCATGCATCTTCTCGAATCACTAATAATAATGCATTCTCAGTTTGAAATTTATGAACTGTGTGATGATTCTCGAAGTCGCCTTTATCATCTGCAGCGGAGCGCAGCTGCATCATACCGCTTAATTCTCCTTACAGTTTATTTATAGGTAAATTAAATGAACCAGAAACACAAAGCGGTTGCGCTTCAGATATCCGTAATTGTTCTATTGGAAACATTCGCGAAGAGATCATCAGAATTACCGTGTCGAACGTTTCCAGAGAAAAGATGTAAAACTTTCCGGCCATTAAGTATAACGGCTTTCACGATCGAGCAATGCATAGCATTAGAAGACTCAATTGCCATTTCATACCAGTAAAATAAAATATCGAAATGTTCTGATGTCAGATCAAGTTCTAAAATATACTAAAATATATCAGAAATGAACATTTTTTACTGAATTATATACTATGTTAGAATTTTTTTTGTCAATTATTTTCAGAACTGAATAAATCCTAAGAGATTGGCGTGTATCGAATCAAATTAAGATGTTACTTCTTTTTAATGTATTTTCTTAAAACTTTGAAATTACGTTAAAAGAATTAAAATTTGTAACATTCGAATTGCCTTTCAGTTAACATTGTTGGTTTTTCCAAACGTAATGTATAGCTAAAAGCTTTCTTGTTTTCTTCAAATTGTTCTTCTGTCATGGTAGATATGTGATTCTAGAATGTAAGTTTTTTAATAGAAACAGCCTCATATTATTACATAAAAAATGGAGTATATTTGATTATGTCATAAGATATTGTTTGAAAAAAGAAAATATAAATTGAAAAATAATGGAAAGTTCCATTAATCAATTAACATGTACGTATTATTACATAAATTGAAGCGTCAAGTGATTTGCCGCTCAGCGATTGACTCGCGATCTGTAGATCCGGGTTCAATCTTACCTGTGCCCACACACGCGATTTTTCGCGTTTAAGGAGCCAAAAATGAATTCATCTGGTGATTAAGAGATCTTTGATCACCAGCGTCGTTCGGATCCAGCGTTAAACTGGTGGGGGTCCCATATATCATTATCTGATAGAATGTTTATGTCTGAACCAGAAACCCTCTAACCAGACTCGCGACACGAGACGATTTGAGCAGCTTTTGTATGCAGGGTAGTAGACCCTGTATGCAGGGTAGTATCGATTTTAACAAAATCGATAATAGAGAGAAATATTATATATTAGTATCTTTGTCTAATCTTAACGCGGCGTTAATGATAACAAGTTATCAATAATCTGACGACATTTTGATGGAAACATGAATGATCATCGTCGATCTTTCCAATAAACAAAATGTAATTGAGATCTTCAGAAAGCGTATAACATTTTAAAATATTATATTTCATTTACTAAAAAAAAAAACGTATTTCACGTTTATCTTGGAGCCCTTAGTTCGTATCAAAAAGTTATTCCATTAGAACACAACTAAAGAATCTTTTAAAGTTGCGCCTTTTTATATTCTATTCTGTGTGGTTTTTTTAAATTTGAGAAATTTAACTCGCTGTGTTCTTCTATTGACAATGTCGCGTATTACGCAATACGCTCCATTTTCAATAAATGGAAATATTGACTAAATATTTGATAAGAAAATAGTTTCTAACAGATTGTGGCAACTTTTATGGTAATAAATATGCTACAGCATTTTCGCTCATCTGCGTAAACAACCATTATCCATATAAGTTGCCTTTAAGTTGCGCTAAAAGAAATTATTATTGTCCTGATGAGAACAACATGATGACAATTGAAGGGAAACTTGTACTAAGTACCTATTTTATATCTTATGCTAAGAAACGTTTTGTTATCTGGGAACCATAAATACATTTAAAAATTACAAACTGTTAATTATTGAATTAATGTAATCGTCAAAACAGTTTTCAAAATACTTTGAAAATAAATTTACATTGTTATGAATTTCTTTCTGTCTTGAACGAGTTAATCATTTTCTCATTTTTCATTGAGCATTTCTTATCCGATGACACTGGACCGACAGCTAGCCGCATAGATAATATGTAAGTCAGACAAAGAAGACCTTCTCTGCAGCAGTTGCGTTGATGCACAAGAACGTGCTAGGCGGTATTAAAATGGCACAAAACAGGGCGTAAAAGGGCGTAAATCTCAAATATGTCATGTGAATTAATATGTTAGCTCGTACGGAGGAATACAGTTGCCGGGACCTGTCGAAGATGTTACAGAATGATATTTGCAGGATAATGTCAAGTCACTGAAGATTTTAATGCATGGTATCGAGATATTGTAGAAATTAACGAGCAAATAAGTATTATACTTTTTATTTAAGTAACAGCAATTTTATATCTGATGTTTCTAATCAACGATTTAAATTTTAAATAAAGATCGCTCGAAAGAGCTGAATTATTGTTGAAAAATCTAAATTTTCATAATATTCACTGAATATAATGCAGCTGAAGAATGCAGTTTCTAAAATAGTATAGGCACAAAAACATTGATATTACTGACGTAACGAATAATATTAATGCTACGTTGCATCAAATCATACTACAAATCATACCTACTTTCCTCGTTGAATTACGATACCTTCCCTCACGTTTCTCCTCATTACCAGCAAGTCATAGTTGATCTCTTTTCCGTCAGAACATTACGTTTTTTCCACACGATTAGTGTTGTCAGTAAGGCAAAATTATGTATCTTAACATCTTGTTGATATATAATATATTTTTTACTAAATTTATAGTGAACAAAAATATACAACTTGTGATTTATATGATGTAAAAGAAAAATCGAACATTGTAATTTTCCAGCCACAAACCGGATATCGAAAGTAAAACAACTTGTTCTATGTCAACATACCATATGCTCATCATAAAATAACTCTATTGCATAATCTTTCATCGAAGCTGAAGTTTCAAATGATCGGAATTGCGAGAACCGCGAGTCAACAAAATTAGTGGAACAAAATTTTTTCCTCTATTTCTCAACTTCATGAAAACGATTGACAAAAATTGCTGGTCAAATGCGTCTACATTTTCATTATAATGATTCTTTTCGCTTGAATAATTCCAAACTGCACGTACAAATGTGCAAAACTTTTCTGAGAAACGATAATGATTAGAAATTTAAATATATCGAAGCACAAGAACAGTTTTCTTAGAATACAGAAAATAGCCAAACTTCTCGCGCGGAAAACTTCATATTGTAATGAGTTTGAAATCGATATTACTTTTTTACTAATCTCCATGATGGTTCTCAATTGCGCGAAATTTTGCCAACAGAACAACTCACTCGCGTGAATCGAACATGCAAGCAATTTTAATGACAAGTTCTTCAGCAAATAGCGATTCTTTTTAATAGCTTTATTTCTGAAAATTCATCCTTCCTAAAGCTAATCAATTCAGCGTTAATTATTGCGTACAATTAAAATCTTTCTATTTTATTTAATTCATTTTTAAAAACACACATATTAGAAGGATTATTTTTAAAATATTTAAAATATTAAATATTGTCGTTAGAACTTATTTGAAAGACAGAATCATTTTCTTAAATAATTAAAAAATTAATTTTTCTGTTTTTACGATAATAATACCTACATAAATGTATATTTATTTATTTATTTATTTATTACTACAGTGATTGAGAAATAATTCTTTACGAAATTTTACATTATGTTATCCTATAATGATGGGATGCGACATTCGTAATATAAGACTGCAAGAAATTAAGAATTTTGCAATTTCTGCGGTAAGTCTTATTAACGCACGTTACTATGCTTATGGGTGAAGGAGATGGCTGTTTGGAAGATTGGAAGACATTCGTACATAGCAAAAGCTCTTTCAGGGTCGACGAAGAGCGCGTGTGCAATACGTTGGAGCTTACATCACGTGCAGACGGATGCAACTTATATCATCATGCAGTTAGCGTTCTGAGAGCTAGCCAGTTACACAGCACTTGTAAAAAAAGTATAGTGATCTAAACAAAAATTATTGTCCAACAAAATTTGACCTTTTTTTTTATCATGAACATAAATAATCAATTTCAATGTACTTGCTGAACAGGAATCCGTTTTTAAAATTTAGCTGTCGCACCACAATTTTAACAAAATAGCAAAGGCAAGAACTGAATATTTTTATGATATTATAATATTTTTATTCCAAATTCTTTTTAAGTTTCATTAATGCCATGTGAAAATATCAACATTTAACTTTTTGAATTTGTAATATACATAGATATCAACATGTATTAAATGATAAATTAATTTATTCAATTTAATATATCTTAAAAATAAAAAATCATATCGGAATGAACAAAATGCATTTTAAAGCTAAAATTTAATATTTTCATGTGGCATTAATGAGATATAGAAAAAATTTAATATTGGTGCTACATTATACTGTATCATGAAAGCCATCAAAATCACCATTTTTTTCTTCATTGATGATATTTTTTTTTCAAAAAATTGTGACGTGCTAACCAAATTTTGTTAACGAATTCATGTTTAGTAAACAAAAATACGTCAGAAATAACTATTAACATTCGTTTTGCAAAATAGTATTAGACAGTTCCTAAACCCTTGATTAAATTTTAAAAATGTAATTAATCTTGAAAAATTTAATAAAATTTCGTAATAAAGGAAGTGAATATATTAAAAAATTATGAGATACAAACATATTGTACTCGTCGGTGCATTGCTGATTACAATACTTTGCTTGCTTTCTGGACTTATGTACTATTTGAATCAAGGTATGGTTTATATCTACACTGTTAAAAATTTCATGAAATTTAATATATTTTTTTTAAGTTACACAATTTGAACTTAATTTCATAACATTACATTAAATTTAATGTATTTATAACTGAAAAGTATATTTGTGTACATACATGTATATGAAATTTAATGTATTTTTCATAAAATTTTATGAAATTTAATATACACGTTTATTACATTTAAGTAACTATTGTAACTTAGTTTTCAGTTAAATCATTTATTACTTTTAATTTCATTCGTATTATAATCACGAGCTTCATTTACATGTAAAGAAAACATTTCTAATAGTGTACAAATGAATTTATTTTAAACAGATCTCATTATTAACTTTTGTTACTCCAAATAATTATTCAAGATTGCGATTTTAATACTTTAAATCTATTTCTATAAGATATTTTAACAAAGATCAATAATTTTGAAGAGAAAGATAAATATATATATTATAATATTATATAATATTATAATCAAATTTCATAAATTATAAATATTGTTGGCAGTTCTAATTAAAGCGCCTGAAAATAGAAATTTATTATTTTCCTATTTATAAGGAGTATCCATTGTGTATTTTGGAAAAATTTATTTATATACAGTAAATGTAAAAAAAAAGAAAATTGTAACCTTTTGTCATATAAAATCTTTATTTAATTATTTGTATTTACCTAAATACCTTTTTTCTTCATGGTGTAGCAGATCATAAGTGTTGTCGACGTTCAGCAAACTTCTTAATAACTATTTTCTATTCCTTAGCACGTATCGGCCGTTTTTTTACAAGATAAAATGCGTCCTTCAACATATGGCGGGAGATTGAAGATTATATCGTTTACACAAATAAAAACAATATCATGTTAAATAATCGTCTACATACGTGATAAACATTTTCGCAGAAGAACGATTCTCACAATTTTATGATACATTTTACTAAGAAAATGTAATTAAGAATCTAGCCATAAAAACTCTGACATATTTTCGCTAAATTTTATATTTCAGATAAATGTCCCATCGGTACCTTCCAGTGTCTCAACAGCACCACATGCATGCCGCAACGTAGCTGGTGCAATGGTGTCCTAGATTGTCCACATAACGACGATGAATCCACAGAAAATTGTTGTATGTTTCAAATCATATCTACATTAATTACTTAACCGCAGTCCTTTTCAGGTCTATTTTAATTTCTACTCAAATGGTAGTACAAATTCGATTATTTCATGAAAACTTAATTATTTGTTACTCCACAAACATCTTAATAACAACACACATACTATTTTGACTTGGACCCGTTTTTACAATATACATATAGTTACCTAAAGATTAAAGAGATTACTAAGAATTTCATCAATAAAATTCATTCATAAATTTTTTATAATCTTTAATCTTGAGGTACCCACATATTGTGAAAACAAACCTTAGTAATAACATTCAATAGCGAATTTGATTGGACGCATTAGTGCGCATTGATGCATATTAAAGCCGTATACTAATTAATCTGAATGTAAAATGAAATGTAAATATATCGAATTATACAAACAGATTTTACTTAACGGTACAATAAAATATATAAAGGATTTTATGGTTTAACCTGTTTTTATATTTATATTAAATACACATCTTTATATCAATTTATGTACGACGGTACGCACCAGTGCGTACTGAGTGCGTCCAATCGAATTCGCTATAACTTTCATCTATGATAACTTTCATTTGCACAAGCAAGAAAGATTATCCTAATTTTCTAATTGTAAGATAGATTTCGTTTCTCTAATTGATAAATTTGCTGCGCAGTTGACATGCACGGAAACTGGGATTGGTTTATGAAAGAAAGAAACTGGGGAAACTCAAACAATTGCGGTAATATCATAATAAAATACGCGACAGATACGCAATATTTGCTATGTATAACAATTTCTTTATTTTTCGTCGCAGATATATTTGACGCTCCAGTTAATTGCACCTACGATGCGTGTCACGCAACTTGTACGAATTTTACCGATGTCCCTAAAAACTTGTCATCGAATGTAACGGCAATGTACATTTCACAAAAAAATATTATTGTTGTGACAAATCATTTTTTTCATACAGTAAAGTATTACACGTTCGATAACTAATATTAACGATTCGAAGTGATTGATTTATTTGGTTATGGATAGATTTAAATCAATTAAATGTATATTCTCTGAATGACATTATTAATTGCTCACATGGATATATAACTTCTGCAGTTTTCTAACCGACAACTCACTCACACATTTATCTCGCGACGCGTTATCAAGATATCCAGAGATACGCTTATTGTAAGTTGTCCTTTGCTGTACAATGTCTTTGCTTCGAGATGAAGGATATAGAAAACTCTGCATAAAACGTTACGGTTGTTTACAATTTCAGATATCTCGATAATAATAATATAGTCAAATTAGAAAAAGGAATCTTCCTCCATCAATCTAAGTTGTTTTGGTTGTGAGTACAAATTAAATGATTAATAACACTTTAAAAAGTATCTACAAACGAAACTCGTTTATCTGTACAGAATTCTCACAAATAATAGCATCAGCGAAATACTACCGGGACACCTAACGGGACTAGATAAATTAGAAACTCTGCTACTGGATCAAAATAAAATTGTGACGGCAGATTTTTCTGACCTAGAAGACAGCACTACTACATATTTGATGTAAACTGTCTTACATTACAGTATAAAACCATTTTATATAATTCTACTGTGTTAAATTATAAAAAATTATGGACGATCTCAATCTGTTAACTTTCCATCATTTATTGTGAAATAAATACTTGCGTTATATACTTAACGCGTTTCTTTTTACTTAATACAAGCTATACCATATATACTTTAACATTGTTATTTAAAATCTTCTTCTCTATTTGTACTATTAGTATTGTTCATAACTTTCAGAGGTATGTGATTCATACAAAATAAAGTTTGAAATCAGCTGCTAATTTCCGAGTAATCTAATCTATATATGATAAACACTTATTATTTACTGTATATAATCAGTGCGTCAGTCTAGAGCGCATCGTTACGAAAATGTAGATCTGTTTGTAGATTGCTTCCTTGATGGGTGCGATAATTTCGCGATAGGAAACGATAATATGCAAATTCCATCAGAGATTGAAGTAAATTGCAACTAAAGCATAGTTAATTGTGGAAATTTATCAGTGTCATTTCTTTCGAAAAAAAATTAATTTTCCACATGTCATAGTACGTTTTTTTAGTTGTAAGAATCGCTGTTAATAATTAGTATAATTAACCAATGTAACTGTTAATAGGATTGCATCGTCCATAATCATATGATGTTGATTGATAATGAATACACGTTTGAACTGTTCTTTTTTATTTACAAATAGAAACCTGAGTAAGAACATGTTAACAACATCCGCTTTAAAACTGCCACGGTTACCGGAGTTGACAGAAATGTGAGCCTATATGTATAAATGTATATATGTGTACATGTATATTTTTTTCTATTTTTATTTAAGTATTTCTATATATATATATATATATACATAAATAAAAATAGAAAATGTATACACGTACGTTTAATTTTCCGTTTATTTTTCGCATTTTAGAATATTGGACGGAAACCACTTCGAGTCAATAACGGAAGATCTCTTTGCCGGATGCCCCGCTTTAAAATCACTGTACGTACGAAGTAGATTACGGAAGCGATTACTGTCATTGTTAATAAGATTCATGCGAGCTAACGGCTCAACGATGATTCAGGGGTATGGAGGACAATAGCATAAGCAGCATCGACGAGAACGCGTTTCGGAATTTGCAACAACTTATTGAGCTGTAAGTGCATAAATGTTAATGTGACTCAGTTTCAAGTTAACGGTACTAACGTTCGGTTATTGTAACCAAAGGATAAAATCTCGTGTCATTCCGATCATCGATTCAATATTATCAAGTGTCAAGTTGCGCAATCGATTACCTTTCGAAGTAACTTTCCGGGTTTTTTTTATTCTAATCGCAATACAAATATAATTAAAGCAGTGTTTAATTTTGTATTGTCTGTTTCTTTATACATTTGTAATTCGCATCTGTTCAAAGTTGAAGTATTGAAGATTTATTACCGTACAACAGACGATGACGCAGATACAGTTAGAAGTTGGAAACTACATTTTATCTCGACCGTTATTAATGGCAAACTCTACTGCATCTAATGGATTGACTATAAATCAGATACCAACGATCGAACACAATTAAAATACAGCCTTGTTTCAGTAACTTGGCATACAACAGGATAGTCACGATACCGTCAAACGTGTTCCAGTCCGTGAATAATCTGTCGAAGCTGTAAGTATAAATATCCGTGTTATAATACTCATAATATCAACCCGCGTGATAATCAGCCTTACTACTAAATGTTTAAGCTACATACGTGCTTGAGCTCTATTCACTGATGCTTAACGCTAAAGATTTGTTCGCGAAAGTGCTATGGAAACGTCACGTACTCGCGAGCGTAACCGGTTTTAATTATAATTTAAGCTTGTATGTGTAAACTAGAATCTGTTTGAAAATAAGTTCCATTACTCTAGCAGTGCTCATAATATAATCTCATCTTCTTCCAGATTAATCGGTTACAATCCTGTCGTCGAGTTATCAATGACACTTTTTAATCCTTTGAATAATCTTCGCTCTCTGTAAGTTGCAGGCTACGCGAGCGGTTTTTCCAACTTAATAATAATAATAATCGAACATGAAACTATAGTAGCATTTTCATTCTATGAATAAATTTGTCCTCTATTAATTTATATCAGTATAAATTAATGGAATAAGTAATTAATTTTTTCATTATAAAACATGGAATTTCAGAAGTGTCGAAGATATAAACATGGATAATATGAATAAAAACGCATTCGACGTGTTTCCAAGGCTCGATTTTATGTACGTTTTTTTTTGATGCGATTATTTAACTTATACAATAGCGTTTTTTTTTTAATAATAAACAAAAGAACTTTTTATTTTTAAGATAACTAAGAAGCAAATGATCTTTGCTTTCTTTCAATCATAATGTAATTTCTGCAAAATCTTTGATACCTCAATATATTCTTACGTGTACTAATTAGACTCAAAATAAACTTTAGACTTGAAAAATAGAAAATAAAATTGAAGATACATAATTTATAATTTCTATATTCATTAAACCTTAAAACCACTTTAAGATTTCTGTTTGATAATTTAATTGTAATCAATAATATAAAATTCCAAATCTTTCAGATATTTCAAGAAATTTCACTACTGCATGACTTACGCGCCGAAGGTGCAGAAATGTAGACCAACTAGCGATGGTAAGGCATACATCGATTAGATAAAAACTACTTAAATTGCAATAACAACTGATTGATTCAATATTGAATCAAACGCGGCAAGATGTATGTATGTCAAGGAAGATGATTCAGTGGAAGATGATTCAGTCTCTCTCTTTTTTCCTCTCTTTCTCTTTTTCTTTTTCTGAAGGTGTGTCATCGATATCTCATTTGCTGGACAAGCCTCTATTAAGGGCTGCTGTTTGGACCATATCTTGTCTCACTTGTCTCGGTAATAGCCTCGTTCTGTGGGGAAGATTCACCGCTAAAGATGAAAATCGTGTTTTAAGTATCATTATCCGAAATCTCGCAGGTAATTGTGCAAATGTATTCCTAGCGGGATATTTACAATTTCTGTGAGAAGAAAACTCTTTTTGTATTCTTCAAAAAAATAATTATCTAAAATAAGCAAATTGACAACAAATTATATTGCCAAATTCAGATATTCAAAAAATTGCAAGAAACGCAATGGTTTTTAAATATTGTAATATACAATAATTATATAAAAATATGAGACTAAGACAAAAATAATTCTATAATTTTATAATCTTAAATATCATCCTTTTGATAATTAACAAAAAAAATGTGGAGTAAAATTTTTTAAAATTCAAAATTTTCAACTACTCGCTGCCGCTGTCTCGCATAGTTAGACATAAACACGAAATAACGACAGCATAAATAATCCTTATATTCAAATGATTCGTGGTACGTACCGAATCATGAAGTGCACGCGAGTTATCATAGTTTGCAGTTCATAATAAAGCGCAACACGATGATCGATCAAGCATATTAATGTTAGGCTCACTATAAATTACAAGACGGTAAAGTCACGTAATCCTTTATAGTGTCCGACATGTTGATGGGAATATACCTCTTCATAATCGCCATAGAAGATGCGAGGTTTCGCGATAACTACAAAGAGGAAGCAAGTATATGGATGTCCTCATGGCCCTGCATACTCCTAGGAGCATTGGCGATGACATCATCCGAGGTATGCACATTAACACCTTGCTGAATCCCACAATTTTCAATTCGCAACGTACAATTGCTATTTAACGGTACTATTTATAATGACCGCTTACGCTACTGTTCAGCGAAATCTGGATACCGTGACAAAGTCGACATATGTTAGCAATATTATGTATAATAGTGTATTTAATTTTACGTAATTAACTGTAAAACATTTGCGATTTCAATCGCAATCATCGCTCAAATACATATCGATACGCAGACCATATATTTCCTGAAACGAATTCAATAGATTTAAATAAAACCGTCTTTTCATGCGTTTCTAACTTTTTTGAATAGTTAGATATAAATTACAGTTAGATATAAATTGAGATTAAAGAATATTTTTTAAAAAATTAAAATTAAAATAGATGATTATAAATTGCTCGGTAAGGTTTCCGTGCTTATCCTGTCATTTATGTCCGTGGAGCGATTTATTCTGATCGCAGCACCTTTGAAGTGTCATCACGCCATGACATCTCAAGCTGCAGCCTCATCGATGATCGTCATCTGGATCTTCGGACTTATTATCGCTCTTGCACCAGGTTCGTTTACGCGAAAGAATAACTTTTTATCTCATTTTCTTAATTTCTTTTTAATTAATTTTTCTTTAATTTTACTTATTATTTATTATATAATTTTATATATACAGGGTGTCCGGAAATTAGTGAATCAGAATATCATAGCAAGATAGAGCGGACTAAACTGAGTCGAAAAATCCTCTATCATTTTGCAATTTTCGCAATAGTTAACGAGATATTAATTACTAAAAATCACTGAATATTAGTCTTCAATAATTTTTTACTCAAATACTATCAACTTTACAGAAACATCCTATATATAGATATTAATTATATCTTATACAACTTGGTAAAATATAAACACCTTAATTTTTTCCATATTTCAAATATTTATATGAGTCACTATAATTATACACATCATTTTAATAAATCTGAAGATTTTTTTATAGAAAATAATAAAAATTTTCATAATCATTCTGAATTGATTGTTTTTGTCCTGGATCCAAAAGTTATCCATTGGAGAAGCAGCACAAAATTCTATGGTGTCAATGGAATGTGTTTTCCTCTACATATAGACGATCCATATCTGATAGGCTGGGAATACTCGATCTTTATCTTTCTGGGACTTAATCTAATCGGGTAAACAATATTTTTTACTATTATATAAGTATTATTATATAAGAGCCTTGTAATTAAACCATAGATCAAATTATGCAATATGGAACCAGCTGTAATTTTTAAGATGGTATTATAACTTATTGACTTTCTCTTTGATTTTCTGATATATCACAACAAAATTTCTAAAATTTATTTAGAAAAATTGTACTCAAATAGCTAATTTTTGGAATTGATTCTACAATATGTAATTGCATCTAATTATTATAGTATCAGAATTTTCGAATAAGTTCAATTATGTCAACAGTATAACATTCGTTAAAAAAATTTTAATCAACATGCCACGAGCTTGATCGATTCTCATTTCGTGATTGCCATAATATTGCTTCGGAAGAAAAGAAGCCTTTCAAGGCTATCATTGCATTCATTTGCAGATTGATGATTATCGGTTACGTTTACATTGCAATGTTCACCAGCATCTGGAGAACGCGCCGTGCCACGCCATTGTCGGTCGGTGATTCTGAATTTGCCCTCAGGTTCTTCCTAATCGTGTTGACAGACGCGGCATGTTGGGCACCGATTATAGCGTTGAAAATCCTCGCCATGATGAAATACCCCGTGCCACGTAAGCAGAAACGCTAATGAGAGTTTTCATGTTCCCACCGACTCCATTACAGTATCTCCGTTACAACCTTTGCTCGATAAATATGCATGCAAATCTTTAAGCTTCATTTTTCAACAACTTTACATTTATCATAAGAACGAATAAAATATTTTTTTCTATTGTTTCATTCGTGAAAAAATTAATCTAAAGAATTAAAATTGTTAAATCAAATTAAGAAAGCGAAATCCTATTTTTAGTCAAAGCGAATCTTAATGCTTCAATATTCGGTGTGATTTATATATATATATATATA